ACATACACAAGGATAAAAGTCTGCAGCAGGAAAGGTAAGAAAAGGCATTCAAGCATTCTTCTGCAACGAAAATCTTTGAAGTCTGGCTCGATTTTTTTTTTTTAATGTTTTTAATAACGTTAAAAACCTCTTTCTAAAATATTTTGGTATTTTCCCCAAATTATTATTTGATATCCTGCAGGCTTTGTACATCCATCAAGGACTTACACAGCCATAAAGCCAACGAAAGCTGGAGACATCCTCTTGCCCAAATATAGGCACAAAGAACTGATTCCACAAATTACACCTAAAATTATGAGCTGTATTTCCGTGTACTGCCACCTTGACACCACACGCAGTATTCGCCCAATCCCCAAATAAACCCACGCTCTTTCTTCTACAAATGTATTCATCCAGTCCAATATTCTTTTTGAAAATGGAAAGTTTTCTACTCCGCTCTATTTAGCAATCAGAAGAAAACAAAGATGTGCAGAAAATTCAAGAACAGAGCAAAACAGATCTGACATGCAAGTAATTATAGCTGTCCCAGTTCTAGCCTGACAGCAGACCCTTCCAACCTGCTGCTCGCCGCTATGTTGCACCAAAATCATCATTCTACTTGCTTTCACAAAAACAAAGGCAACCTCTTTCCCACAGTACTTGCACTCTGCGCTGAGGTGAGGAACTTGAATTTCTAATAACACTGTAAGGACAGGAGGAGCAGAGAATGTGCAGAGCAATCACAACGCCAGCAGCAACCAGGTTAATGTGACATTTGGCGCTGGACAACTGTTTATCTCACTCTGCATTACGGATTACATGTAATAGAGAAACCATAGGCAAAAGATCATTTTAGCAGAAGATAAAACATGCAGAAATTGGTATACATTACAACATGGTGATAGTGATGACAGTAAAGACATTAGTTATCTGAGAAAGGATGCTGTCGAGTCCAAGATCCCTCACTTTCTGATGCGGTTTCAAAACTCTCTCCAACATCACCAGCAGAACTAAAGCACTGCTTGACAGTATTTCAGACAAATCATTCCAACTCAGATCTCAAATCTACTGTGCTCTAAAACAAACCTAATCAATTCTCAGCTGAAAAAAACCCTACTGTTCTGTTTGCTTGTTCTGTGTAGCTGTTTCCCTGTTTACTTGCAAGGTCATTCCACTTCTCTCTTTTAACAACATCTCCCCCTGCACTGAAAAGAAAAATATTCAAAATTTCAACTATTAAAGGTGCCCATTAATTTAAGAGAGGCATCAGGATATTCTATACACCATCTCCAGACAGATCATCATTCATAAAACACTCAAAAGAACTGCTGCTTCACTGAGCCTAAGTATATATTCTATATAGCATGAGACTGATGGATTCATTCTGCCAACAGCATGAATGCTTCAAATCAGGCTTTATTTATGTTTAACAGTGGAACTTCTGATCTGTTCATTACCATAATCCAGGGAAGACAGGCCTCATTTTAATAGAATTAAGCAATCTGAAAAAGACACAATGCTTTGGCAGTCCCAAGGGATGCTCAGTCCGCACTCATTTTATAGTGCCATCTGTGACGCCAGTTGAGGAGTACAGAGATATCTACCCCTCCTCTGTCAGTAGCTTCTAACGTGTCTTGAGGCTTATTACCGCAACACTTGGCAACTGTGTGATGTCCTAAAATCCAGGATCTGCATTTTGTTATATTATTTCTGTAATACACCCTGCTTCTGTAGAACTCGAAGCTGACTTGGTTAAAATAAACTGAATCCTGAGTAATTTTGTCCCTAGCACAGCAAGGAGCCACAGCAAGCTCCTATGCAAGAGGTCTTCCAGTCACACTCTGCTTTGATATTCACAGTACTAAGCAAACAACAACAGCCCAACTGGGTCATGACACATTTTTCTTCTTAACCAACAACATTTAGAAAATATATATTACATAAACTCACAAGGGAGGTTTTTACATAAACAAGTTGTTTGAATTAAGAGTTAAGCATCACAGAGGGCACCTGTGAACACATAACAGTCCTGCCCTGGAACAGTCGTCTTCTGTCTTTATTGCAGCGTGAAGAAGGTATCAATGAATCTGTGGTTTAGTCACAATGCAACATCCCCTAAAGTACTTAGGTAAAAGCCCAGATATAAAAATCTCAAACTCCACTCAAGCCTATCAACAGCAAAGCCTGAAGTATGGGAAGTACCCAACTGCACAAGTTTTTTAACACATAAAGGCACAGCTTCTGCCATCATCATCAAGCACCACAACTGAACTCTTTCAAAATGAGCTACAAAAAGAAAATCTACTTGTTTGAGAAAACAGGATCCAGGGCTCTGCCCAACAACACAGCTGGAAACTGCTGATGAGCCCTGCTCCATGAGCCTCACCTCTGTCTCCTTCTCCAAAAATTCTTGCCTTTTGCCCACCTGTCTTCTCCAGGCAGGTCTCCTCCTCCTCATGCTAGGGTGCTGTTCTCCCTGCCTCCTGGGAATACCATTTGCAGATGACCTCTTCGACATTTAAAAAGAACCACCCAGAATTTGCACAATCCTTCTACGACTACTGCATGCTTCTGCACAGCCCTAAGTTACCACGGGGTTGAAAAATCTGAATTATAACCTCATAAATCAGTACGTTTCAAAGATACATTTTCCATACTCCGACACATGCACTACGCACATGGAAATTCACCTGTCCTTGCCAATGAACCAAACTTTGCTCAGGGTCATGAGCTGTTAAAACAGTAGCTGTTTATTACTGCTACAGCACATACTGCTGAGGTAGAAAGTGGTATTTACAAAGATCTCAGAAGATTAAACACATGAAAACTGGTTTGGGCAGGATTGACAGAAAGCCTCAAAAAATGTATAATTTTTATTCCAGTGAATATCAGGAGAAAAAATAATAAAGAAATTCATTTTAGTAACTTTAATCCTTTGGCCTTTCTCCATAAGAGCTGATCTTCCAGAAAGCTGAATTCAGGTTTCAGGAATTTTTCCTCTCCAACAACAGATTGAAATTAGTTTGAACCCAAGGGCAACTTCTTTAATACCTGTCCAACATACATTTGACCTTCTCTTCTACGAAAAGCTTGAGAGTTTTTCTCATCTGAAGAGAATGGGAAGTTTAAGCTGGATTTCATCTTTCAGCTGTCAAGGTTTATGAAAGAAACATGAAAATGAAAAGTGACTTGCCTTACAATTAACAAGAAAAGAAACTGAATCCCCAAATCAAAGCATCAGACAGCTACAATATTTAACATTTATAGAGTGCTCTTCCCACAGAATGATCCAATGACATTTTTCAGGTCTGTGTGGAAATCACTGCAGCATTTTAATGTCATCTTTACAGAAGAACTGTAGACAGGTGATGGATTTTTGTATTTAATTAAAGCTGCAGAAGAGTTGAGGTCAGCAGAATGATACCTCATGATCTAATTTAAGAAAAACACTGCACTTAAAGCCTGCTGTACACACAGGCTGCACTGGCTTAGTGGCAGTATTATTTCGTATTGATTTTGTCAGACTTGTAACCAACCTTTCTCTATTTAGCTGGTAGAGTACACAAGGACAGCAATCTAAATATCTGCTATTAATTCATACCCTGAGAAAATAGCTCAGTGAAGATCAGGTTTTCTGGTATTCGAGGAAGATCAACACACATTACTTTGTACATTGAACTTGCTTTTAGAATATGTTTTCAGGTAGAGTGACATGTAAGGAAAACTGAAAACCTCTGGATCTTAAAAAGAAAATGGCTGTCTAGGGATAAGAAGTTACTGCAAAACAGTTTCTCATGTTGTTTGGGAACAGGGGACATTTGTAAATGTCTCGTTTCATCAAACATTAGAATGGGTTTTAAACTTCTAGCAAAACCAGCCCAGTTTTGTGTAGTGGAACCAATGTATTCTATGCTTCCTAAGAAAGTTTGCAAATGATCATGAAAGACGGTTTATATGTGAGTGGCTGAGATGCATTAATTAAAAAGCAGTCTTAGCAGCAAGAGATACTGCCACGAAGACTTGACGAGACATGGGAAAGTACTGGGCTGAAGGCAGCTACCAAAACATGAAACATTACATCTGGTTTAGATACATTATGCTAAAATTCCAAGCATAATCACTCTGACATTTCAATTTTAAAGCAGGGACAACTTTACAACTGAGCGTATGCTCCCAGACTTGACTGCAAATGCACTATGGCTTTGGAAAATGCAATGATTTAACACAGGCCATCCCCTACTGACTCTTGTTAAATTGAAAGTTAACATGTATTTATTTTTTATTTCCAACTACCTTATTTCCCCTTTTTTTTTTTGGTCAAGTAAAAGGAATCATCATTTTCACTGCTGGGGGGGGCAGGGGGACGAGAGAATGTAGGCAGCAGAACAGTCATTCATGTAAATAAGTTAACTGTGTAGTCACACGATCACAGGCAAAATATAACATTCTTAGTAATTCAAAAACCCAGAATGTCAGGAGACCTGAATCTCACTGATCTGTGAGTGAAGTGAAACAAATCACTCAGTCATTAGCCCACTTAAAAAACCACCAGCATTTCAAAAGGACGATTCCAGAAAACCTGCTTCTTTTAAAATGCAGCCTTCATTCAACTGAGCTGCAGTTAGAAATTCTCGTATCCCCTAAGAGTGAAAAGAGCAGGTTTGGTTCCTCAAGTGTAGTAATTTTTTTTTTTTTGTATAAAGTTGCTTTTATTTATATCCACACGCGCTTATACAGGTAGACATACACTCACTTTATGTTTCACGATGAAGGTGAAGACATTGGATATCATGCATCTGTACCCAAGATACACGTATTTGGAAATCTTTCTGTGGAAGCCCTTCTAAAATTAACTGCTAATAGCATCCAGACAAATTTCTCTATGCATTTGCAGTATTTCCAGAAAGAAGCTACACGCCAACAGGTTCAACTTGTTTCCTCTCCACCCATTCACAGGGCAGCACAGTATTTCAAGGCCTAAAAAGCCGGGCAAGAAGCCACACTTCAGGAGGAGCACTCACCTAGCTCACCCGCTGCGTTCCGACCACCAACTGCATACAAATGTCCTTTGAGGGCACTTAGGTGGAAGAAGGTGCGCTTCTCATTTAAAGATGCGACTTGCATCCACTTGTTGTAGCGAGGATCAAACCTAAAGACAGTGTCGACCGCCGTCTTTCCTTTCGTGTCGTAATTGCTCTGGCCCCCGACTACGTAAAGAAAGTTTCCGATCACGGCGATGCCGTGCTGGTACCTTGGCGCATCCATGGGAGCTAAGGATTTCCATTCGTGGGCCTTTTCGTCATACATCCGTAACTCCTTGCTGACAACCAGCTGCTGCCTCAGCACTCCCCCCAATGTCACCAAGTGAGTACTGTCCGAGCGAATGGCAGTCCTCTCCGACTGCATAACGGGTTGCATGTATGGCATCATTTGGTAATTGCTGGCTTCCAAAAGCAAGTTTACACAGGTATTGTCAGTTCTCATGAAGTCCACTGTCTGAACATAGTTAATAAGATCCTGGGGTGTCATCAGTGGAAACCTGATGTTCTTCATCAGCTTTGCGGCGTACTCCATCCGAGGCTCCTCATACCGTAGCCAGCGACAAGCTGCCTTGAAGAGTTCAAGTTCAGTGCAGTGCTTAAGGCTATTACTTGAAAGCACAAAGGCAAGACGTTCAAAGGGGAGTTTCACAAATTCTCCAGTACTTAATAATGCAGGGAAGTTCTTCAGGATGAAATTATTAACATATTTATCCACTTCTGTGAGATTGTATGTGTTGGCAATTCGCCCAACCTCAACACAGTTTTCCAACGAAACCTATTAAGTAAACAAAGAGGAATCAGAACGCTTTCTTAATTTGGTGTCTAAACGATAATGTAGAAATTAATGAATATTACAGAATCAGCAATATTTCATCATTTTGCAATGCTCTAGGTGATTTACACATGAGCAAATAAATATTCAATGTGATGTATGTATTCATGACTGCAAGGGGAGACCCAACGTATTCCTTATTTTGAAGAAAGAAATGAGACAAGTAACAAGCAGATGGCCTATATTAATTATGTCAAATACATTATACAATGATGATACATAGCAATTGCACAGCAGTTCATCTTTGAAAAGCTCTGCCAACATCTTTCTAAGAAAGAAATGTGGAAAATACTCTTAAGGTAAAGGTGATCAGCCCAAGGTTACAGAAAATAATGCAAAAGTAGGTCTTGCCATTAGACTTTTTCTAACATTATTAAAATTGTACTGCCATAATGCAGCCAAGAGAAAAGCACAGCTACCTCGCCAACGCCACATATTTCAGGCAAGTTATTTACAGTGTTCAATCCAATGAGTACATTCCTTAGAAACAGAATTACATCTTTAATAAATCATGGTGGTGCTCAAAACTGAATATATGTCCTTGGTCAAAAATAAGACCAAGGTAGTGATTTTTTAAATATATGTATAAAGTTATTAAAAGATACAATGAATCCAGGAGGTTTCCCTAGGAATACCCAGCACATGACATGCTTTCACTATATGGATCATAACATAATTTCATTCAATACTTGAGTGACCATGTCTTGGTGACCACATCTTTTACACTGTTGCTGCATCTGCCTTTCTTACATCTTTGGCTCCTAAATATCTGAGGTCACTTGGGAACCAAGGCGGAGGGAGGCAGAAAGACAGGAAGGGCAGGATTTAACTTAAAGTGGGTCTCTAGTGAACCTGGACAATTCGTTTTGGCAAGCTCTACTGCCCACGTGCAAACCAAGTCAATTTTCAGACACTTTTTGCTGAGAATTGTTGCTTTTTTGCATTCGATCCTTTCTCTAACCCAAGCTTTATTTACCCGTGCTTTCTAGTCTCTGCGTATGTCAGTCCTACTCAATGCCAACAATTTCACAACTTTGTGATTCTCATTATGTATTTGTAATGCCAGAAGAATTTAAGCTTCCGAATCTCATACTTACTTTTAAAAAGATTATAAAGATTGAGGACCATGACCTGATTGCAGCCTAAGAATTCAAAAACCTTCATATGACCTTCTGGTCATAACAGATTAAAGATTTTAATACTGTGTAACTCAATCTCATCACTGTCCTTTAGGGTGAGACAATTCAAAAGCCTAATGAGTATGGGAATAGAAGAATGTTTAATTCACTAGAAACTGATCTAGCTTGCCCTAGAGTTAAGATCTGCAGTCATTAGGTCTTCGTTCCCACATCTTGAAACGCCTTCATACAGTTAATGGTTCCAAATCTTTAACTCCAGCAGCACTAATCCTGTAACCAGGTTCTACCCCTAAGATGAACGTGTGTCAGGAGTTCTATTATAAAAATAATAAGATGAACGTGTGTCAGAGTGTCAGGAGTTCTATTATAAAAATACCCCTGCATATATATGGAAATTATTTTTGTATTACAAGACAGACCACATTGTTTTATAGATTATTGCTAGCTGATGTGATTATATTTTGATATAAACATTCTCTAATGCTTAAGAAACAGTCAAAATAAAAAAAAAATGTTTCTTAAGAGTCAGTAACAAACTATTTCCTACACATTTCCTTGTAGGATTTTTAATTTACATAAATTAATTGCATAATGGGAGTAGCAGCATACCTTAAATTAAGTAAATGGAACAGGACATTCTTACTTCTAAAATTTCTTTCAAGCTGTATAAGGAAAATAAAGCAATAGAAAAAAAATCACCCCAAACAAATATCTGTCTTACAGTATGCCACAAATCTTCACTCTTGCTATACAGTTACTGTATTTCAAAACTATTTTGGAATACATTTACAGGCATCAAACTACAGAGATGCAGCAATTCCTCCCTATCAAGGTAAGCGGACAGAAAGACATTATCGCATACAGGAGAGGCATGCTTGAAGTCAAAAGACCAAAGCAAGAGAGGTACAGATTACGTACCACTGGAACACAGTATTTGGGTTGCAATGAGGCATTTAGACCTGCTGCAGAACACATGCCAGTTATCAAGTGTCCAGCGTGCATCCAGCTGATATATGGCCATAACGACGTCGTACTGTAAATCTACGCAATGGAATATATTCCTGGAATACTTATGTTTGAGTAGTTTATTGACACATTACACGCTGTTAATGACTGATGATCATGACATTAACAGTTTCCAGTCAATCCCTAATTCTCAGAAAAGTTACCTTATACTGCCTTAATTAATTCACTGGAATTGTACTTCACTCAGCTTTACTTCCTACTATGACTGCAAGTACTCCTCATGATGCTTACGAAATTCTGCATTTTGTTTGGCTTCCTAACAAATTCCACCACTCACCTCAAATCATGGTACCACATTACATATTTTCTTAAAGGTTACTTTGCTTGCCAAAAGTACTGTAACCAAATTTACTGTGCTCTAAGATAACAATCAATGTACCAGGCTAAATTATACTGAAAAGATTTTACAGTCATCAGAATACATACTCTAGAGATCCTTAAGTCTTGAGCCAAAAAAAATAATCCTTCAATGGAATGAAATGCAATAGTTACTTCTACTTAAATATTCAGAATTGGACGATCTTAGAAGTACAATAATATTATTTAAACACTTCAGTACTGAGTTACTCAAGTGTTGATTTTCAAAAAAATAAACAGTTTGACTTATGCTACGGTACTTAGAAGAGGTGTGGCAACCGTTCTCTATGGAAGTCAGTCAATCAGGAGCTCATCAACAGAAGGAACTGCTGCTTCTGAAGTGAAGTGAATGGGAGGAATGGAAATATCAGACAAAATATGGCTGTACAGTGCATCCAGTAACTAGTAAAAGATACTCACGCAGAATGCCCTAAAAGACATAACTGGACAAATAGCTAAACAACTTCATAAAAAGTCAAGAACTGTAGATAAGCACTATGTTACTTGGGGCTTGACCACTGCACAGCGCTGCTCATTCACATTACGCACTGTAATTACCCATTACAAAGCAGAGTTCCAGAAAATACTAAAAAGCTTTTCAAAAAATAAAGGTGAACCACAGCACAATGCATTACAGCCCCCCAAAAAAACCAAATGCAAAAGCCAAAGTACTTTCTGAAGAACACAGTTGATGTAATTCTTTGAAATTTTGAAGCAATCACCCAAGCTCTGGTAAAATACTTAATGGACTATAAAATACTACAAAACTGGACACAGAGCAAAATGACTGCAAGTACGAGAACCCTGGAGATCAACTCAGGAAAAACAACATGTACAGAACATCATCTCCTCAAGCCCAGTAACACAAAATATTTACATGTCTAACCTTTTGCTTCAACGACTGTTAGACAGTGAAGTACTTAACGTGGTGTTTCAGAGGGTCTAAGTTCATAAGAGCTTACATTCCTCCCAAATCCTCAGTTTTATTGTGGGTTCCCATATACATAAGTCCAGAAATAACAGCACAGAAATTTGTCCAGCTCAGAAAACAGAACCAATCGTACTGCCACATTAGACAAGGTGGATTTGTGTTGGCTGGCAGAGCTGGCCCCAGCATCAGATCCCATGCCCCCATAAAACTGAGACCATCTTGCTTCATCCTCAGTTAACCAAGGCCTTGTGACAAGAGAGACTTCCAAACATGGAGATGCCAATACTTGATGATTTGCTAGTTGTAACAAAAACATAAACTACAGAATTATAGAAGGAATAAAATTTTCTTATGCAGCTCTATGAAAGGTACAGCCAAAGCATTAGTTTTTGGTGTTTTGGAATGTTTTCTTTAATTACAGTATAACATTCCCTTCCTCATTACACTGATTTTTCCCAAGTGCTGTAATGTACTCAGATAGGTTTCTCATCTTAATTTTGTACACTGCAGCTACATTTAGAAACCCATTATTGTGTGTTATCTAACACTCACTACTCTGAAAACATTTCCATGGCATTTTTATTAATTTTAATTACATTACGGCTCATTTAGATGCGAACCTGGGAGTAGTCCTAGTCTACTGGATAGATATAAATATTTAAAAACAATACTAAAAGTAATACTAAAAATAATTTTTGGAAGTATTCCCATGTTTCTCTGTGAGTCTGCTCAGCTGCACAGCACATATTATCAGGGCTACTTGACAGGAAGGATGTAAATGCAGAACAAATAAAAGAACACTTACAAGTCAGCTATAACATAGACCATTCCTTGAAGCTCTCAATATTAATTTTTTATTACCCAAATTCAGCTGTTACCCAAAGTTCTTCATTATAAATATTTCCAATACCCTCTTATGCAGTCACACAGTTACATTTTGCTTTACATAAACTGACTTCTATAATAACAGACCGTCCAGACAATTTACAGACAATTAAGTACTTGTCTGGCAACAGTTACGTCAGCTCTCAGATGCTACTCTCAACTAATATCAGCAAAACTAAGCTCAAGACTTGCTCAGAGAATTTATTTAAATTACAGAAATACTGCCTCAAGAATGGAGCAAAACTAGTATAATCTCTGTAAACTAAGATATGGTAATTAAAAAAGCCAAAACCACCAAGTTTGCTCACCAACTCTTGTTCCTGTTCAAGCAAACTCCCAAGAAAGCTCATTCTCTGCTCAAGGATGTGAGAACACAACTAGGCCAACAGCACAAACTTAGTTTGGTACTTTCTCTACAGTTACACAATAAATGAGATGATGTTCCCCTTAGACACCAATATAAAGGAAAAAAATTAAGAAAAGAGAATCCATACAATTAAGAGATTGAATAAAGTCTTCCTGATTCTGAACCTCACCCCTTTCAAAATGTGGTATCAAACAAGACGTTTCTTACTAGAACCAAAACCAGTGACTGAGTCAACACTAAGTGAAGGGAAATTCAGAAGACAAGCATTTCAAATAATGAAATTCCTCCAAATAATGCAATTTAGGATGAAAGAAGCTACTTCCCCAGTAAAGAAAAATCAACAAGCAGCTGGAGACAGGGCAACACAGCATCCCTGGGGCTCACCTCCCATCAAAGGGAGGCCACTCCAAATCCCCGATTCAAAAGAACACCAAGACCTTATTCCAAGTTGGCATTTATAGCAACGTCAACCCTGGAGAGGCAGACTGCATCATTCTGGAAGGTAACGAAAAACCTGAGGGCCATAAAATAGATCATGCAGGATTTAAGAGTATTAAGATTAATGAAACATTATCACAACATTCTCAGAGAACTGGCCAATTAGAAAATATGCCAAAATTAAAAGCAAAACAGTAGCGTTGTAGAGCCTAAACACCTCTAACACTTCCCTTATGAAACAGATTGCTGTTATTAGCAGCTTGGAGACCTCTTGTTTGCATAAATCCCAGTACATGTCTTCATTAGGAAGGTCACATTTCTGAGCCAGTACCCTGAGGGGCAATGGGAATACCTGCTTCTTTACTTCTCATTACAGACTATCAGAATGCTGAATACCAAATAATATTATAATTCATGCAGAACACAAGAGTTTCCCTGTTACAGATAAAGTTAGACTTCTAGGAAGGTACATAAGCAATTAACATTAACATCAGAAAACCTCCAGGAAACATTAGAAATAACACCAAGGTCTCTAGGCAGAACTGCTTTGACAGCACAGCTCTCAGCTCTCATTCTGCAACCCCACCAAGCAGGCACTCCTTGTCTGCAGGACAAAGTTATAGAACCACAGAATGGTTTGGGTTGGAAGGGACCTTAAAGTTCCAACCCAACCTTAAAGATCCCTCAGTTCCAACCCCCCAGCCACGGGCAGGGACCCCTTCCACTAGACCAGGTTGCTCAAAGCCTCATCCAGCCTGGCCTTGGACACTTCCAGGGATGGGGCATCCACAGCTTCTCTGGGCAACCTGTCCCAGTGCCTCACCACCCTCTCCAGAAAGAATTTCTTCCCCATGTCCAATCTAAATCTTCCCTCCTTCAATTTAAACCCATTACCCCTTGTCCTGTCACTCCCTGCCCTTGCAAAAAGTCCCCCCCCAGCTTTCTTGTAGCCCTCTTCAGGCACTGGAAGGTGCTATAAGGTCTCCCTGGAGCCTTCTCTTCTCCAGGCTGGACAAGCCCAGCTCTCTCAGCCTGTCTCCACAGCAGAGGTGCTCCAGCCCTCCGAGCATCTTTGTGGCCTCCTCTGGATTCACTCCAACTGGTTATATTAATACAAGACAGCAGGGCAAGAGCTAGGAAAGGTATTGAATCATCATACATTGGCATTGCTCATATACTGTGTCTAAGTTAGAAAATGGATAACTGCACCCATATTCTGAGATTGCACTGGTTTAACTACAGAAATAGTGAATGTAGCTGGAGACATCAAATGTATGCAGTAAGTTGACTGTAACACTAGAATGAGTGCAGGCATGCAGCAAGACCTTGAAATCTCTGGTATCTGAGATTTAAGAAGTGAAGGCTGCTCAAAAAGCAAGACCTGTGAAAAGCAATCCAAGCTGATCAAATGTGCATGTCAGCTATGCTTAATAAACAACAAGATTAAACAGAGGAATATAAATCCAATGCCTTTAACATGAGGTTGGAGCCAGATAAATGGAGTGTTTTCATGTCACATCCTTCCTTACATGCCTCCTCCCACCCATAAAGAATGAAGGAGAAGGCAGCTACTGCTTAACAAGCTGAATCTTTAACAGGCCTCTTGTTTTTAATAAAGAGAAAACTGCAGAACTGTTTGACTTCAACTCGAAGGGAGCATGGCATTCCGCCCCAAAACACAGCCTTAAAATAAAACAGGACACCAGCTCTGAAAGAGGAAGGAAAGGAGGTGGAAAAAAGGTTGTTATTGAAAGTTCCTCCTCCCCCAGGAGTGGGTTCAGGACCTGAGATTTTAATCTCTACAATACATAAAAATCAGCAGGGCAACTCTAAACCACAAACAGACTGTACTGCACTGGAACTACAGCACGCTGCTTTGCAGGGCAAACTTCTCATTTGTTCCAATAGCACAAAAGCAACCGTGCTACAAGCTGCCTCAGGATTATTCTTTTAACTAACCATTATTGGTAGAAGAGGAGGGGGTTGCTTCTTTGGGGGCTGTCTCCTGCTTACAAAAGCACACACTTTGGTGATTGTGAAAAAACAATTCCCAGTAGGCATTCAAAGCCAGTTTTAGTTCTAGCAAAACATGGCCATAAACATGAAATCCTTGTAGCTACTTTTCTCATATAACCAACATTTCTCTACCATTCCTATTAGAAACCTCTTTAAAGAATATCTTATTCTAAAGGACTGTGACCAAGTTCACTAATTCACAAAAAATACGTAATGGTCTCTGATGATCGCTGTAATTGTGGGTTTCATTCCTCACTAAAAAGGTTTCAAGAAAGTATATTAACAGAGAGCAACAGCACCTTGCTCTTCTATTATTTTTTTCAGTTTAACTCACCAACTAGCTTTCTTACAGAAGGATTGAGAGATTGAGAGTGTGAACTAAGACATACAGTAAGGAGTCTGGGAAGTATGATTATAGTCACTGCAGTCACTTAGGAATTAGAATTTCAATGTGGTATAACATATCAAACTCACACTGTACATAATACTCAGAAGAAAAGATTTTCAAGAAAACTACATAGGAAACTTATTCTCTGTGAATCCAGATTATGAATAATGGCAAGGTTTAGACTTAACTTTGACTATTACACAGTCATTAGTCTTATATAAAAGAACCACAGGGAGATCTTAATCATTGTAAATGTGAAACAAGCATTCTTACCCCAGAGATAAGAAACACTTTACAGAAGTCCAAAACAGGTAAAATCTGCAAAAAACTGGCAGCTTCCAGAGTGTCCTGAAGGTTGTCCATATTAAGGGAAAGTTTTGCAGTATAAATGAAATCAATGATCTTCTTTAGGCCTATTTTGTTCACACCATGAAGCTTAATGCACATTAAATCCTGTTCCTTCATTCCTCCTGAAAAAGACATGTAGGTAAGTTTATATGGTCATTTTGATTGGGTTGAAATAATTTCATTAACTTATTCAAAATTAAAATACAATTTTAAAGCTTAAAAATTCATATGCAACAGTAGAAAGGGTACAACTACAGAGAGGTCAGTGCAGTCCTGGGCTGATTTACACACAGCACTGAATGTGTGTCAGAGTAGCCAAACAATAGCAATTTGGAGATAGTAGTATGCGTTATTTTAACAAAAACCCCACCTGTGAACATCGCCTTGAAGTAATCACTTGCAGAAGCCATCATGGCTCTGTGAACAGGAAACACTTCGTCACCATCTCCTGGAACAAGCGTCACGTCACAAAGCAAACCTTCCACACGCAGCTGGTCAAAACCCTGCAAGAAGAGCATAATGTGAAGCATCCATTTGATCTGGGAGAGAAGGGACACACGTACTGTGATTCCAAAAAGTCACTAAAATGATTTGTCATGTTACAACCACTGTCACTAATATACTCAATGATAATTATTCACTGGAAAACATGCAGAATAATTATTAATTTCCAGAAACGGCTGAAGAATGCAAAGTACATTGGCCTTAGAAAGTAGCTTTATTCCGCAAATTAAGTTATTTTTAGGTTGTTTTCAGGAGTTTGCTTTGTAAGCTTGCATTCCAGTAATTATTTCAGGTAGGGACCAATATCTTTTTTTGGACCTATCCTTTCTGGACACATATGCATTCTAGATATATTTCTGTGCCCCACCAGTTTTAAGTGCTTTGAAACCCAAGAGGCTGTAAAATACTGGGGTCTGAAAGGAAAGCTGTCACCCGGTTCCATGATTTTCAAATTGATTACCAAAGTTTACATGGCAAAAACTCCAAAATAAGCTCACATTACACATCTGATCTTTTCTGAATTACTTATAATAGCTAAGTCTAATAAAAAAGAAAGTCATTTACAACAGCATCCTAGAGTAAGACTTTCCTCCAAAGTTACACCTGGTTGAGGGAACTGTAGGATGGTTGGATTATCAGCCTCCTTCACAAACTGCAGACCATAAGCTCGAACATAAAACAATTTCTTTCAACCAGGTGCGTCTGATGTTTCTCTAGTACTAACAAGAATGTAAATATTTAATATAGTCTTCATAGAAATAACACTTAGAAAAGTCTTGGTACCAGCCTGCATGGTGTAAAATTTAAGAGATCCTAAAGTAAGGCTGTAGGTTTAAAATTGCAGAGGTTAAGTAGAAATTAGCATTCAAATTTGTCTCACAGAAGAGAACAGAGTGCAAATGAAAAAATGAGCTATGAGCTCCAATAAATCAGAATCCAAAGACAGGATTTATATAAACTAATACATTTCAATGACAAACAACTGGTCTGTAGTTCCGACAAACAAGGCTTTACAACTACCAGTTCTCCATCTGCTCCAATTTTGAAGAAAAAAATTGAGTGAGGAGGAAATAAGCTTTGCCTAGTGTTCAAACGAGGGAGAGCTGTGCACAGATGCACAAGCCTTAGAAACTAAAGAGTCACTAACGTCTCTGAATTGAGGAACCAAAAAAAACCCTAACAAAACAAAAATCAAAACTTTGACCCAAGACTTAGGCAGTAAATTGAAAAAATGTAAGTGGCAGTTCTCCAAGGAGTCATCCCATACAAAAGTTGTCTGCACTCGGGAGAAAGACTGCGCTGGCGAGTAGCAAGAGCTACGAAAGCTGTAAGCTTGTCTCTGCATGGCATGTAAGAGCCCCAGCAGAAACGACAAGATAAAATGACTATATTTTTAAAGTCTTAAAGCTTCAGAGAGGATAACATTTTTATCCATCAGAGGAATGTTCTGCCATACGGTAGTGCCATGCAGCCAGACCCAGCACAGGGCGGTACACGAAGCCTGACAGGGCTCTGCCACCTCTGGGACACGAAGCTCCTATCGCATCCCTAACGCGGCTTTAGCACAGGAGATGGTACAAGTGTTTGCCTAACATAATTACATGATTATATTCAAGTGAGCTGCTTTGAGGCAGCTGTCACTTCATAGTTTAAACAATATTACCTCTTAGAAATTGAGAGCCGACAAGGATACAAGCCCAGGAAATGGCCAGGGGTTTTTCCAAGCTGTCTCTAAGAGTCAAACCTTTAATTCGCAGGAAAAGGAGTTAAGTCACACTTGCTTGTAGGCTTTGTCAGCACAGCACACTAACAACATGTGCTAGTTCTGATGTATTTTAGGAATTACTAGTCTGATAAAGTCTGTTGAGGGGTGGCATTGTTCAGAGCAGCCAAAATTCCCAGTACAGATCAACATTTACACAATAACATTTAGTTACCTGTAATACCACAGAACTGTGAGTGTTGCTGGTGAAAAATCTTGTGGTCCCTGTCTTAGAAGACTGTAGATGGGCAGAGATGCCCATATCGCTGCTACCAAGAGATACTTTCATATGAGGATCCTCCTCTTCCACCAGAGATCTAAGAAGATTAGAACAAAGAAAGCTTAAGACCAAACTCCTTTTCATTCAGTGCTCGTGTATTAAAACCAGAGTCTTCTGGGATGACACGTAACAGGATAGAGGCTAAAGGTGAAAAATCAGCAGGTGACAGAAGCAGTCCTTAATCGTCCCCTTCAGCTAAGGAAGCGAAGCATTAACAGTCTCTAAATCAACGTAACTTAAAAAATTTAATTTTCTGCTAACAAATTTTTCCTTTTCCTTCCATCCCCACCTCCCTGACTGAGATACTTGCACACTACTTTATTTCTGTGTGCGCTTCCAGTATTGTAGGATGCTTGCAGGGATTCCAGCCAGTTATCAAAACCAAGTATATTATCAGATGGCCACTAAAAACTAAAGATTGAAACTAATTATAATACTGATGTTCAGTAACTTCATTCTTATGGCTTGCATTACCTTGCTCAAGCACGAATGTAATAATAGAAAATATACATAGTGGAGTTTCAAGCTGTAACTTTATGCTATCTTTAAGAACACACAATTAGAAGAAGTCGTTTAGGACATGATATCAAGTATTTTGCTAATGCAGGCAGCCAGTTCCTAATTTTATTTTAAGATTTGTTACTGTGAAGTCAACGCTTACGTGTTTGATTCCAAGCAATTACTGTCCACCTCTAAGTGGGTAAGGCTAATTTTAGGTAGAACTGCTAAAGAATTACTGCACTATTATTAGCCTTCCATTTTAATCTCGAGATGTAAATTAGGTTTACATAAAGATATATGCATATGAGATTCTAACTACCCTAACCTGTAATTATTATACAATGTAAATAGATTTATTCTCCAGAAATATTAACAATAACTAGTTCCTGTAATTTCCGTGATCTAACGTACTACCTATTAGCATGCATAGCGATATAATGCGTATATACGCAACATTTATTAGCAAACATCAGCTGTTAATTCACAGATGAGGGCATCTTCATTATTAATAAAGACTCCAAGCTGCAAACAAATAAAAGAAAAAAAGGATTCACAGCAGTTTGCCACAACTGCTGCAAATCTCAGATACAAAGGTTTGCCAAATTTAAAACATGCAGGTAAAAACATTGGCCTCCAAGCTAGTTTCAGAAATTACTTCAAACAAGTGACAAGAATGTGCTTGAATTCCATGCCCTACCCGCCAAGTTTTGACTGCAAGCACTAGGGAAGGACAAATTTTGAATCCGCAGATCAAAATTAATTTTCATAGTAAAAAGGTTGAGGTTTTTTTGACTGTTTGTTTTTATATTTAGCCCCACCTTCTCTGGTACATGGACTATGTAGAGCAGTTTCTGAAACTCACACGTGACCGTGACAGCACTGAGGTGCTTTGCTCAAACCCATGGCTACATAGGGTCAGCCAGGAAAACATATTCGAATCAAATTGAACAGCGCACATGGGTTTGAAACACTGAGATTTTAAGCACACAGACACAACAGACTGTAGGAGCAAGGGTACATCTAAAAAGCCTTGACTTCTACTGTAGCAACCCAGTACTCAGACATCTGAAAAAATACATGCAGATGTACTGCAGCAAGCAAGAAATTAGTCATTTTTGAGACAGAATTATCTCTATTTTATGAAACAAATCCAGAGTGTAATCTAAATGAAGTTTGACAGGATGCACCTCCAAAAAGTGCTCTCCAAACTCTCTTTGGCATCCAACAATGTAACACAGCAGCAAAGCAGTTGCTCGCTCCTGACCCAAAACATTTTTGTTCACTTCGGGTTTAGGGTTTTGTTTGTTTTAGTTGTAATACCATCACATCAAGGAAAGAGCCTAACCATTTCAAAGGACACACAGTCTCTAAATTTGTACATGTCTTTCTAAGAAGAAATATATAAAATAATGTGGGGAGACTTGTACGCGTGGGTGGGAAGGAACCGCAAACTCAACTAGCATGAATGTGACTGTTTGCTCTTGGAAGATGTTCCTGAACCGTCAGATCAGATAGCCATTATACAAAGGGGCTTTCAAAATACTTCTATGGTCTTCTGAGTGTAGAAGATGTACACATCAGTTAAAATCACTGGGGCAAGAAACATACAAGTAAACCAACTTTGGTGGCTGTTTGGAGTGGATGTTTTACCACACACAGCATGCCACGTTATTTCCCGACCGCCAGCACACGTACTCCGTAAATTCTACAAATGAAGGCAAAGACTTTGACCACGATTCATTTATTCCACAAACAGGGGTGATAATGGAGTGATTTTTCTGAACTAGCGACATTACATACAACTCCCTAAGCTTTGTCCTAAGGGCACAAGATGCCTTGTTAACTGCTGCACAGCCAGAGGATATGGCACATTTCAAAATACCCGCAATACTTAAAAAGCACACATTCGGCGTGCCAGAGGTGACTATAGGCAGGTATTTCCCTTCCCTAATATTCAGCACATAATGGGTGGTTGTCCAATAAACTCTATCACACATCTAAGTCCAGCAGCTCACAACCTGATGCTCTTCTGCAGAAGAGATTTTCACCATTTCTGTTCCATGCTTGCTGCTGCATACGTACAGGAACTTGTGTGTGTGTGTATCAGACATGAAAATCTGCAAGCTTCAGCACTATAAAAAACCCCCAGAACATCAACAGTACAGAGGTAATCTCAAACATTAATTTGGCTGTATGTGATGCCACAAGAGTAAACTCAGATAACCAGATTACATTACTCCTGTGTTCTTTTTCGTTTTATATTTTTAAAACTGTGACAAATTAAAAAATGTGGGGCTATTTTTTGTTTGGGTGGATTTTGAGGGGTTTTTTGTTTGGTTTTGTTTTGGTGTTTTTTTTTAAATACACCACCTTTTTAACCTAGAGCTCAACAGTGTAGAGGGCAGAGTACCTCTCCCCTTACACCACAAGTGTCATTCAGGAGCTGGTTTTGGCAGAAGCTACAAGGCAAGTCAGCAGTAAGACCCGATGAAAGCACACTGATCCCCTGAATCCCAGCCTTGTGACATTCACCAAGAGGGAAAGAAACCCAGAGCAAGCAGAAATTACGAGTTTGTCATTGGCTTTGTACCAGCTGCAGCATTTATCTTCCTGCAAGAAGGAAAACCCATCTTTGTAAGACAAAATGAAAATGCAAGAGCCCTTACACAGGTGTTGATACCAATACACACAGAAACAGCAAAACCCAAGCACTATATCCCATACAACAAGAGTAATTTAAGACTGCCCTGCAAACAAATTTTGAGCTATTCAGAATATAACTCCTGTTTGAGGGGCCGTAAAGTGAATATTCAGAAATAACTGCCATTCCTGCCCAGAACAGATGGGTGACACGCCTTATATCCGACTGAATTCCCAGCAAACACACAGTAAGTACATCTGTCTTGTTTGGACACTTACCAAAGGTGTTATTTACATTCATTAACATGGGTCTGCTAAGCACTATAATTAATTACATAATAATGAATGTAAATATATTGAACTTTATTTTATGGTAAGTACAGTATATCACAATTAAGCATACTACCAAAGAAGAAAGCTAATTCATTTTCTAATTAATTTTATTGTTCTGATCAACAGAAATCATCAAGCAAGTGCAGCAGCAGCATTTTTAACCAATATTAAAAGCAAAAGTAGGAAGAGACAGCTAAAACTACCATAGTGTGTAGTGATAATTCACAAGTTGCTCTAAATGTGGATATTAACACCACTTTCAATGCATTCAGTGGTCTGGAGAGGGTTGAACATTATAGTATTAAGGGAATATTGGCGTTTAATACAAAATGAACATTAACATTGCAAGAGCAAGGCAGAGGAGCTGCCCGACTCCTGCAACCTCTTGGAAGCAGTGGCTCGGCGATCACAGAAAGGCACTGGAGGTTAATTAGTTGCTATCACAGAATAAGCTGTCAGTCAGAATTTTCTTTCTAACCTTACGTTGATTCTTTCCAGTACAGTATAGTTTTTTCCTAGCTACTGTACCCAAATGTGCTTTTCTCAGGACTCTAAGTTAATCCTCCAAATACTTCCAACTTGTATTTTTGTAGCGATGAAATACGGAGCGTGCATTATAGGGATAATAACTACGTATCTTAATTTCTTAGCTTCCTGACAGTTTTGCAGAAAGGTAATTTTTCTTTCAGTGGTAAGAAGCAAAGCTAAATTTTCTTTCTACAGATGATTGTTCTCTCGATTCGCTTTCATTAATTTTCTGTCTAAAGATACTATTTTTAATCTTGTTCATCTACTTAAAAGGTACCTGAACACCCTCTTGGACAATAAGTGCAATTAGCAATTACTTTAGAACTATAAAGGCGACTGTAAACCAAATGTTGAGCTATGAAAAAAACACAATAGTTCGAGTCTTGCCAAGCCAGTGTGACATTATGGATTTGCAGTTGTGGTGGTGGTTTTTCATAGCAGAGACAAAGGAAAACCATAGCTGAGCACCACGCTAGGGGAGAAAATAAAGTTCAAATGGAACAGTTCAGTAGTATTATTTAATATTTCATTCATTTGAAAGATACAAGTTCAGTGGCTTTTAAGTACCGGTCGGGTATAAAAGTCCCTAAATCTTGTCACAACGCAGGACAAAATATAGCGGAGTAACAAGAACTCTAGACTTGTCTTAATAAAAAGCAACTGGAAGGTGAAAATCATCTCAATGGGTCTTCATGGGCTTCTAGGTTTAATTTGTAGCCTGCACATAGAGAAGTAGGATGAGTAAACACCTAGACTGGCACAAACATTAGAGAACTTAGTATTTCAGAAGAATACTAAATACGCAATTTGAAAAGGCACGGACTGGCCAAAGTATTTACAGGATCCATTACTGCTCCCAATTCTGTATGCAATCTCTCTAGATTAAAGGCAGGGAATTATGAAACTGTGAGCTAACATTAAAGGAAAAACAGAAATACACGTACAGCAGAAGAGGCACTAACCAGGGTGACCAGGAACAGGACACAAAACGCTGTAGTCGGATCCAGAACTTAAATTTTTATTTACACAATTTCT